AGCTTTGGACTTAAAGCAAAAGCTGTATTTACTGAAATAGTGGGAAGTATTTCTTATGAATGTGAAACAAATTTTCACTTTCATGCCACTGCTAAACGTCTGCATGATGCCAGCTCACAGTAAGCAAGAAATAAATTCAGCAAATAGGCAGGAAAAAACAATCATCAACAAATAGCCTTACAAACTGTGAAAGTACAGAGAGGCATGTCAGCACACACATTGAAAACCATGAAAATCAGACCTCTCGACGGTACAAGAATTAAAGGATTTCAGAAGCAGCAGCGTGCTGCCACTGAACAACTTGCTTTTTTTGATTTTAAACTGAAAGAGCAATAAGAAAGAGACTTTTAAAACGGGCAATTGACAAGAGGGGGGTTGCTGCAGAGACGCCCCTTTTCAGCGTGTGCTCCTCCGGGTAAGCCCCTCTGCTCTGCCAGCCCCGGCGCGGCAGGGACTCTGCCCGCGAGGGCTCTCCACACCCAGGGAGCTGCCCTCGGCGTGGCTTCAGCTGGGAGACAGAAACCTTTTCATGCAGAGGTCGGTGCACGGACATGCCTGCGTGTCTGCTCCACCAGCGGGTCCCCCCTCCCTCCCGCTGAGAGGTCCTGCCAGAGCAGAGGTCCTTCCCCAGGTGCAGTCAGTGAAACCAGAGAACTTGCTTTAGGGATGTGATTAAGAGGCACGTTCAGGACCAGCCAGAGTAACGATATTTACAAAGAAGAGCTGCAAAAATCCCAGCAAGAAAAAACCTTAAACCCATCTCCAGAAAGTCTGGGCTAATAAATGGAATGCTTTTTTTTTCTAAGCAAGCTACTTCTGAGAAAGCTGCCGGCTAACTTCCGTATGTGAGAAAAATAAAAGTCCCTAGGGTAGCGAGCCTGAGGTACATACCACGGCCTGAAGCTCAAAGCAGCAAAAGAGGCTGAGGCACACGTAGCTGCAGGAGGAGTTTGCAGCCAGGCAGCAACGGGCACTCTCCCATGTAAGGAGCAGCCAGGGTCCATCGCTCCAGGACCACCGCAGAGCCGTCCTGCAAACAGCTGATTTGAAGACAGGCGATTGCCTGCTATTACCTCCCAGCAATCCCTTTCATCTGTTCTGCATATTGTTACTTTCAAAATTGACCTATTACCCCGATAATTGGTTCTGTTAACAAAAAAACATACGGGAGGGAAAACCTGAAGAAGTTTAAGCACATTTTCAAGCAGCCACCACTCAGCCAGGGAGGCAGCTTGAAGCTGAGGAGTGATGCACAAAACCAGCTCGGTGCCTGGTATGGGTTGTAATCTGGGTAACTCTTATCACTATTATGCCCAGCTATTGAGAAATCATCTTATTTTGTTTTATTTCTTAGCAGGCATAATGTTACTATGAGTTATTTCTTCGGGAGTTCCCAGAGGCATCAGAGAAGATCTCGTAACAGAAGGCATTGTAGGAACATGTAGGAAGACACAATCTCTTCCCTAGGGAAGAAGCTGCAAAAGATATGAAACAAAGGAAGATTAAACAGAGAAGTCCCAACCCTGGCTGGATGCCCTGTTATCGCAGTGAAGCTCTGCTCTCCATTAGTAAATGCAGCATGACGAGAAATTACTTATCCATGTCCTTATTCTACCTATGAGATTAACACAAGATTACAATCTTATCTCTTGCACAATTTACATGTCATGTAGTGCAGCTTGATCAAGAAGAGTCAATGAAAATATGCTGTTTCTCATTACCTGAGGTTCTTGGAAAGTAGCATGAATATTATGTAAAGTGAAAGAAAAGACATAAGGCCTTACATAATTTACCTTCGACTGGTTTTGAGATCTCTTATGCTAGTTATTCCTTTATCTTATGCTAACAGAAGAACCCAGGCCTTGCAGTCACTACCCAGACAAGGCTTTTGATTCACTTCAAATCACAAGCTTGCTCATGCAAGCCATCAGGTGGAGGACCGCACCTGAGCTACCAGGAAGGCAAAGGCAGCATTACTGGGACATCTGAAAAAAAAGTTTCTCATTGCCCAGACAGTCATTCAATTTGGGGGACTTCTTTTTCCATGAGAAGAAAAAGCACAAAAGAGGAAAAGGACGTGTTCTGGGCATCCTCACTATGCAGCATCAGAAATGTTTTATTTGTACAAGCGCCGGTCTGGTCCCATGGACCGATGGCCTGTTTCCACCTGGGGGACTTCTGATGTGCTCCTGGCACGCACCCTCCGGTTGAGTTTCACCAAAAGGGTTTCAGTTCACGAGCTCCATGGCTGCTCCATGGCAGTAACCACGCCGAAGTAAGCAAGAAAATCTTGAAGATTCACTTCAGAAGCGTGCTTCTCATCCAAACTAAAACACTACTGGAGATGCACCCTAAGACCAAGTGTTCTCACTTACCCAGCTGTTGCACCACTAGATTGTATTTACAAAATATATTTGTAAATGCTTTGAATATGTTCTGCCTGACAGCATATAGTTACTGTTTTTTAAAATAATGCACGGTCAATGGAAGTTAAAAAATCCTTTTTAATTCGGAATCTGTATTCAGAATCTGGCATTCGTTAACCAGAGATGATTAAAAGTCTTGGCCTCTACCTTTAATGATAGGTCTAATTTTTTTGCACACTGTCTCCTTCATTAAAATGTTGTGCTTTCCTGGTGAAACTGATATTTAAAAAAATACGTTATTACAAAACACTCAGAGCAATTTTCAGGAAGAAAGGAATGACAGAGAACAGCTGAACAGTATGAAAAAAATTCTTATTGTGGCCATTGCACCTACTTGAGACTCCAGATCATCAGCAGATCTACACATAATGCACAGCTTAGCACACACTTCCATGGTGCTGATGGCACACATTGTCCAACAAGGGCTGAACTGCTCTTGAGTGCTCCACAAAATCATACAGGAGGACAGAAATGGCCAAAGTCAGCTCACATGTACGCTACTTAAGTAGACTGAATTATACCAGAGACAAATCTGTACCATTTTCTAAACTTTTTTTCTGTCTGTAAAAATGAGATGTGTAGGTTTGTATGAAAATAGTGCTACAGAAGGAATCCAGAATCAACATCTGTGTAAGTATTTAACTAACACAGACAGTTTGATCAGGCCAACTAATTCATCTGTCCTCCTTTTGTGAAATTCAATCTTTGTTTGCATAGCTAATATCCTCCTGAGTAGCCATAAGCCCCATCCTTTGTGTATCAGTAGGCTTTAGGAAATGTTTAATCAGTTTGCAGGAGTGCATAGATATAATTCCACAACAACCCTCTAGGTGTCATCTACAAAAGTCACATATATGAAAATATAAGTTGTGCCCCTGAAAAGAAATGCTAAGGAAGTGTTCCTACATAATTCTTCTCTCTTTTTGTAATCTGTTTTCTCTCTCTAAACTTTTTTTAAGTGGCAAGATGAAATTTGTTTGCTTTTCTGAAGGTGGAAAATTGCTAAGGATTCTACTCTAATGTTTAACTTTATAAAAAACAAATAAATTGCTGGTTTCAAAATATGATTTCTAAAATTATAATATTCTTTATACATCATCATAAAAATAAAGAATATAAAACTATTCTGAAAGAACACTAGTCAGTGTATTTCTGAGCTAAAATCATGTTTCAGCTTCAATCAACCACAATTTTTTTTTAAATGAATAACTGCATATGCAGTCAGGCAAAACATTTAAAAAATAAATTCAGAAACTATAAATAATAAATACTTCCAGAGAACTTTTTAGCAAAACAGCATGTATCTACAACTTCCACCAAACTTAACATGGAAAGCACGATTCTGATACTACCATTCTGAAGCTCTCTCACTTGAAAGCAGAAAGCTAGGAATCCCAACAAACATACTGTATTACAAGCAAATTCTGCTTTTCATACAGATCTGTGAAAGTAGCTGTCACAAATTTCAAATGTGATTAAAGATCCAGTACCTGAAGGCAGAAATTTGGACCTTGCAATTCTTCATTCTGATAAAGTGCAGAAATGCACAGTATTTCAGGATAACTATAGGTATTTCTCAGACATACACTGGAGATCACATGTTAAGTTCTCTGAGTTAATTTAAAATTTCAGTCTTACTGAATGCATTGGAGAAATATGAATGACAATAATCCAAAAAATGGAACAGAAATGTATACTTAATTCATGGGTTCAAAGAAAGGTAAAAATGGGGGCCAGAGCTATCTCACTGTGCTATCTTAAGCAGTTTAGAACAATAATAATAAGTTGTTCTTTTAGGAGGTTTTCAGTATATTGCTCCTGGGAAGGAATGTGAGAACTGTCTTTTCCCCAGCACTCTTAAAGCTTTCCGTTCCAAACTGAAAGAAAAGTTAGAAAATGTGTTACAGGAAAACATGTTTATGCATGTGGGTTTTGAAATCACCTTGGATCCCACTGAACCTTGTGTGGATGTTTACAGGTTTCATTTTAATGTTTAAATAAACTACAACATCCATCTCTTTTTTCATAATATTTGGCTTTTACACAGCGAAGATAACGGAGTCTGTGCTCACGTGATGTAGCGTGGCATAACTCCACTGTGGTCATCACAAGAGAGGTGACTGGAATCAAATAAGAACTTGGCCCTTTATTTGAACAAACTTCACCATTTAATTATTTTTTAATCTAAAATTACTGTCTGTTAAAAGAAATTCATTAAATTCCTATATAAAAGCAGAAACTTGATGGAACATGCTTTTAGACAATTTTACTTAAGTCTTTGCCAGAAATGTTTACAGACAGAAACAATTTTCAACCTCATCTTCTTAAGGGAGAGAGGACATAGGGCAAGAGAAAGGAAGGAGCTCTGTCACCGTACATGCCGGTTGTCAGGGCATACCAGAATCGGGTCCTGGGCACACATACACATACACTTGACCCATGTTTGTGAAGACAGACAAGAGGTCTTGCTTTCATTCCAGTAAGCAGTGAAACAAATTTCAAAAGTGCAAGAACTGATTTGAAGCATAATCGTTATCTGAGCTCCTCTAAATTTGCTCAGTCTGAATCACTCACCTTCGTCACATGATGCTTTTCATGTTGTACAGGAATCTTAAACATTTGGCACCAATATGTTGTATCTTTATCTGGTACAGGCACCTGTCTTAATAAAAAGGGCAAGAACACCATATTATAAAAGTCACATTACCTTGCTGCGGAAGCCCAAAGCTTTGGCTGCCACCTTATCCCCAACTCCACATAAACCCAAAACCCGGAGTAACTTACGTCTTTGTTTGTCAAGTCAAAGTATGGCAAAGAGGCAGATAAGACTTCTTCTTTCTCAGGATTCAGTAAACGTAGACTCTTTGTACCACGATTAGACCCATGGTAATTTTGACCTGCTTCTCCCATGTCTTTGTGGTGGTAGGCCCATATTACTCGCACCGTGCTCTCCTAAAACAAAAACCAAAACAAACCACAAACCAAAAAGTCCATAAGGAATAGGAATAATATCTTCCTTACATAGTTCACATAAATCCTATTATAGATATGATGTAGGTGTTGCTGTATTTGAAAAATGACAATGTATACCAGAGGAGCAGTCACCTACTGACACAATTTTGCCTATAAAATTAATAATGTTTTATACTCTTAGGGTTCATTGGAGATATGCAGAAGTTGAATCTGTCTCTGATGGATTCCTTCACTAAAGTCGTGAATTTAAATCATATCTGCAAATAGCAGAACAGAGCCATAAAGAGGTAACCAACGAAATGCATGAAAATTTTTCTTCTAGACATATCACTTATTTGGCCAGCATTCAGAAGGTTTCCCCCCAAAACCTTTTCCAGGCTCAGCTCTGTAAAGATATGAATACTTCTGTGAACTGCTATCCTTACATGCTAGGGAAGATAGACATTCAATTACAGAACAGATTTACATCTTAAAAATCAATCTACAGCCACAGCACAGATCAATTCTCTGTAAACCATTCTCAGATTGCAATAATCACCCTTGAGACAACGTACTCTAATAAATCCTGAAGTGTCCCAGAATGTTAAATTATACTGAGAATTTGGAGCAGGTGCGAAAACCATAGATCCATTGACTGCCTGAAAATCTGGCGGTTTATACAGCTGTGGTTTGCTTCCTGCATCTTTCAGCTCCTCATGTTGTTATTATTGTGTATATTGTGAAAACATAGACAATGAAAATAATTTTGAACTACTGTAGCAATGCTTACAAAATGAGTAGTAAACAACCCAAAGCGTAGAAAGCCTTGCAAATCTCTCTAACCTATCTGTCATTTCCAATACAGAAGACATCAACTTCATATAATTTAAAATTATGCTTAGGAAACAGTACAGCAGTCCTTAGGGCAACACAAGAGTTTACCATTAAAAATACGTTACCATGGAAAAAGTTTTATGATAAAACACTTCAACTCCTCAATTTTGAATAAAGAAATAAAACAAATATATGCTTTGAATATATCTATCTGCTCCAAACTTTTTAAAAAGTCTATCTTTAAGTTGAATTACAAGTTAGTGTCAGACCTAAAAAGTGTTTCTCAAGCTGGCAACTGTGGGATATGGGACTTTATGGCCCAGAAGTACCTGCTTCAATCCTGTGTTCACTTGGTGTGTTAGAAATTAGAGAACATAATGCATTAAAGTAGAAGGACAAAGAAAGCTGAAATTAAAATAGAGGAGCCTAATAAAACTAGCACAAATATTTTACCTGGTTAACTTAAGTTGACCAAACATGTTTTGGAAAGTGAATTCCTCTAATTCTGTCCTTTTACTAAGATGAGGTTTTAATAACCAGCTTCGTAACCACGTATGCATTTGGCCTATATTAATTACTTCATCTCTTTACATATAGACAGAGCCTCTTACCGTTATGCTCTTGTCATTTGCATCACAAGTGTGCAGTTCTCTGCTAAAAGCCAATATTGTATGGGTACTGTTTTCCATGGCATATTCCAGATGGTAATCCTGTTGAGGGTCCTTTTTTAGTACTCTGTTTTCATCCGTAAAATAATCCTGTTGAAAAGAAAAGGTGGCCCGTTGTTAAAATCTAATATTAAATTAAAAATGAAACTTTATGCCCAAGTCTGAAGCCCCTTAAAACACATCTTTATGTAAAATGCTGAAGCACCAGAGTTTTGTATCAAATGATAAATTTGAGGCAGCACTGAACTCTTTTTATTAGAAGTCTCCAAGAAAGCAAGTCTCCTTGATAAGCAGCTTAAAGAATGTCTTGAGCAACTTTAACAACACACTGCTTGTACGTAACTGCAGGAATAAATGCTGTACCCGACAGCCAAGAAGCCTAATTTATCTTAACTGGGATGTTGTGAACTTGGGGAGAAATTACAGAGAGAACGAACTCCACTTAATATTCACATCAACACTATTGTCCTTCCCTCTTTTCCCGACTTCTTCTTTGTTTTTCTCTTCCCCACAAAAAGCAAACCTCTTGAACGAACATCGACCGGAACCAGAAGCCCTGTGGCTTAACTAGCACGAAAAGCGCTCAGTTCATACAAAAGGTGCTGGGCTGGGGTTAGGCTGGGGTTTTGGGGGGGTGGAGCAGTTTGTAAGAAAGCCGCTCCCCGCCTGGGGTTCAGCAGAGGCGCGGTACAATGGAGGAGCGGCTGCAGCGATGCCGAGTCATTAACCTCCTCACCCCAAATTCCTGCAGCCCCACGCAGCTGGGAGCCAGCCCTCCCTCTCCTCCCACCCTGGCCACCTGGAAAGGGCTGGCCACCGCCTCAGACGCACCTCCTCTGGGCGCCCTCCTTGGGGTTTTAGGCTGTTTCTGCCCGGTTTGGGATGGGGAGAGGGGCTTCTAACTAATAGATATATTTCTTACGCCCAACAGGCTACAGGCAGACACCATTAATTGTGCGGTGTCCTTGGCAAAATAGTGCAGCGCCGGCTGTTCCTGGAAGATGTGTACTTCTGTAGCTATTTGGACCTCCATTCACTTTTAGAGAGATTTCTAGCTTTCCCCTTTTGTTAAAGTGGAGGTTACCAAGCTGAAAAGTTGTAAGATGTTATGTCCAAGTATTTTGATACCGGTAAAAGTAGCTGATATCTTAGTAATTCCCCAAAGGATCATTTAGGAGCTGTAATCTTAAGCTTAACCCCACCCTAGAAATCTGTGTGTGTGCAAGAGACCACGTGCACACCGGTCAGAGTTCACAAGCTGGTCCGCCTTTTATGGATGTACAAATAACTGCATGCCCAAACATTTCATTAAGGTATATTAATTTGGATGAAAATTTGTATAAAACTATCTATCTCAGTCATGATGCAGTTTCAAGGAAGAAAAGGGTAAAAAGCTGACCGTTTTTTATCAGTACGGAAATATTCTGATTTCATTCTGACTTGCCAAAACTAGTGAAACTGTTTGCGTTTTTTTCAGTTCTGGAATAAATCTAAATCTCAAAATGTTGAAAGGTACCGAAAAGAGTCCTTCTTCTCCTGTCAGCACTTCTCACAACTACAAAGGAATGAGTACATACGTGAAAGGATACACACATGGAAAAATAATCACACAAAAGAGCACAAGAGGTGTCTGGGACCTGAAGTTGTATGCTGAAAGAAAGGGGACTGATGAGTTATGTTTGTTTAGACAAAGAATCTTGGATTTGCTTTTCCAGACGGGAATAATGGGCCTGTTCTGGGATGGTGCTTGAAGGTGGGCACTTTATGTGATCAAAACACTCCACTTTAACCCTGCATCAGAGCTTGGGAAGAGGCAGTGTATGTCTATACGCAATACCATCTCTGCACTGAAAACATTCCTCTATGGAATCTCCACTTCCACCTTAAAAATAGTACGGGCTTGTCTGGACAAGAAATGTAACCTTGTGAACGTCAGCTTTTATTAAAGTGAGATATCCTTGCTGAAATGTTACATTAAATTGGAGGCAGGCACCCTTGTACTAGGAAAAGCACCCACACATTGAATTATTGAGGAATACAAATTCAAGAACAGCTTTTCCTCATGTGAACAGGTTGAAAGTCTGCCTGAAACTGCTGTGAAGGAAAGCTCAGAAATGTGAAGCACAGTTAGGTGTGCACACTCAAATATTTTGCTGGTGAACTTCACCTTTTCTTAACAAGTCTAGAGGACACAGCTGTAACAAAAAAACCTCTTGTGATATAGCCCTGACTTTCATGAGCCTGCAGGGGAAATGCAAAAATAACTCAAAGAAGTTGTGTAATTAAGGTATTAGCTCAGATGTGCCTCGATAACGTGATTGTCAGCGTAATTATTTCATTCGCCTGGATGACGGTCAAAGACAGGTCACAGCTCTGGCTCACTGCCAGGGGCTCATTTTGTTGCTGCTGGTGAATGCTTTGGGGAAGGTGGCCCCAAATCCCAGGTCCCAGGAGAGGACCACACTGCTCCCCGCGGGAGAAGAGCCGCGCTGGGAGAGCCGCGTCGGGCGCTCGCAGTGCTGCCTGCCCAGGCGCTCACTGCCTACCCCTGCTGTCGATGCAGAACACCTCGCTCAGTGACACACCTTAAATTATTTTGTGGGTAGATGCTAATCTGACCAACTAACATTAATCTTTCCCATGTGAAAATTTCTGTGAATTAATGAATTCCTTGTCTCTACTTACTTTCTCTGCCTGATACGCGCCACCTTGAAACAGCCCTTGAATATCGGGGTGCTGAGAATACCTGGGAAGCAAATTTATGTAGTGCCCAGGAAGCAGAGATGTCCATTTATTCCTCAGATCCTACAACTCCACTGGGCGCAGGGGGACTACCCTAGAGGAATCAAGTGTGAGTATGCTTGCCAGGAGCTATTTAGGAGTTAGTGAGCTGCCTCTATTACTGTTTTTATTTCCTTTGTTGAAAATTATCCAGACGTTCATCACAAAAATAAAATCAAATAATGTAACCAAAAAATTTCTGAACAGCTCAGAATTTGACTGCTCAACTCTCACATTAAAACAGTTTGTTTACCAGTTTTAAAACAAAATAAGGCCACATTTCCAAGGAAACATACTGATCTCTTTCTGCTCAAAGAGAAGATTTTAAGTCAAACTACACAGACTTTGCTCAATTTACTCATCAGAGCTTAAAAACCTTTAAGATGTGTTTGTGTACAAAACGTAATGAACAAAAGGAGTTTATCAAAAATGAAGACACACTGACAAACTGTGATGCCACATCCTTTTCAGGAGCATCTTGGAAAAGTAAGAAGTTAGTTGCAGATATATCTACATAGATATATGTCTGTATCTTTATCTATCTCCTACGCTTCACTTCAGAGTAGAAAAATAAGAATAATGTCCTGCTCCCATGGTACAAATGCAATCAAAACCACCACATTTCGACAGCCTACACTCCACTGAAGTCCCTCTGTCTGGTCAAAGGAGAAAGCTGGGTACCTCTGAAGGCCTTTGAAAAGTGACAGCACAGAGGCTGGATCCACCAGAGACCAGAGAGAGGACATGAGGCAGCTGGGCTTCAGCTGAACTGAGGGTATCTAAACATGGTTCAAAACTCTCTCAGGGCCAGACTGCTGTAACACAGAACTCATCTAAATTCACAAGTTTCACTCATTTAGTTCTGTAGAGAAAGGGGTGTGACGTTTTCATCAACAGAATTACAGTGCTTCGATATCTATCACAGATGGTCTGAAATGTGCCTCGTATTGGAACAGTTTATCCTTCCTACCAGGTAGGAAAAGGCTCTAATGTGGCGACCTCTTTTACACAGATTTGTTTTTTTCAGCCCATACGGTTAGCTAGAAAACCTGCGTCTTTTGTAGGATAGATTACACTGATACAAGTCCCCCTGAATTTCATGGGGTCCCAGCAGAGAACTACGATAATTATCAAGTCCTTAAAACTGAATTCCTGAAACACTCACAGTACAAACCTGACAACATAGATTTATGGTCTGATTCGGCACTTGCATCCAGATTCTTCAGTTTCTTATACACACAGAAGTATAGACCACGCATTAAATGAAGATAAAGTTTTCAAATTTCACATCAGCTTTACAGAAGTGCAAGCATTACAGAAAGAAAAGATAAGGGTGAGACTACTATAACTTTCTAGAATGAATATGTTATTTTGGTTATTTAAACAGTAAGTGTTTAAAACAGTTTCAGAAGTGTTATTGGTCATGCTACATAATAACAAATATGTTATTTTTATTTCAGAATTTGCTTACGTAAACTGTTTACATGTGAAACATTTAAATTTTCTGTCTTCCCTTTGATAATATTGCATAAAATGGCATTTTAAACTCTGGACTAAGTTGTGCAATCAGTCAAATAATTGGGTATCTCCTTCCTCACATTACCTAGAAGTTGAAACAACATATGGAAAATGAAAAATCTTCCTGACAGTACAAGTTATTTTATGTTCTTTTCCAGATGTGAAGCCGATCATGTTATACTGTTTTTCAGATCCCACTGACCTCTCTCTTTCTTAAAAAAAATGTTTTGCGGCATATATGGTTTCTGATTGCTGCTCTACAAGCAGTCAGGAAGAATAATTTCTTAAGGATGTGAAAAGAGGCTGGTTTCTCCTTTGAGAATGTAAGCACAGCTGCAGAAGGAAGCCTAACCCCAAAAGCACCACCAGCTGTCATCGCAGATTTGAGCAGGTGTTTATGGGACTCCCTCCCCAGATCTTTACAATGTACCAGATTGTTTTGTTTATGATATCCATTTCCCATCCTAAATTATATACAGCACCTTTCAACCTCAGGCAGCATAAAATAACTCGCGAACTGCGGCCCCGTCCAGCAATCGCCTTGCAGGCTCAGCTTGCGAGCAGCTCTGCCGCCCTGATTTATACATGCTGCCCTTCTCTAACTGGGAGATCGCTGCCATTTCAGCAGCGATTTAACACTTACGAGCAAGTAAAACGGCAAGCCAGGAATGGGAAATGAGGGAAAAACAAGCTGTCTTGCAGCTAGTCTTCACCTATGGTCTGTAGCCAACCCATGCAGTTTTGAACATCCCCAAACTACCCAAACTGACGTCTAAGACCAGGGCTAAAGACAA